GCGGTGAATTTATCCATCTGAAAGATTTCTTTTCCTCTAATAGAATATCTCATTTTCTTACTCCACCATATACCCCTGAGCATAATGGTATTGCGGAAAGACGTCATAGACATATTATTGAAACCGGTATTACTCTTTTTCACAATGCCAACTTGCCTCTCTCATTTTGGTCATTTGCTTTCCAAACTGTTGTTTATTTTATCAACCGGCTTCCAACACCTCTACTTTAGTATGATTCACCATCTCTTAGAATTTTCAGCGAGTCTCCCAAGTATGATAAATTACATGTGTTTGGTTGTCTTTGTTATCCATGGTTACGTCCTTATTCTCGCAACAAGCTTGAACCTCGTTCTAACCCATGCATATTTCTTGGTTACTCCAATACTCAAAGTGCCTACAAATGCTTTGATCCTCAAACACACAGAATTTATATATCTCGCCATGTTGATTTTATTGAGCATGTTTTTCCATTTTCTGGTTCCACTCCCCATGAGCCCATTCCAATAGAAGAAACTTTCAACAATTGGTTTCCACGTCTATTGGCCTACTCAACTTCTTATTTGGCTACATAACCAGATTCCAGTAAGAGTTCTTATCCCGATGTGGCATTTCCTGTTAATATTCCTTCCTCATTGGATACATTGAGAATTACTACACAAATGTCAGGTATGGGCATATCTCCTGCGACAGATTTAAATTCTTTTTCTTCACCTGTTTTTTTAGCTTTACAGGATTCATCACCTGCCCATAACACAAAGCCAAGTGTTCCTATGTCATCTTCAAGTGATCAACCATTATCATCTACATCAAATAGTGAATCGGATATTGACACCTCACATGAACTATCCACCACTGAACCAGTTTCTTCACCCATCATTAACCTGTTCTCGATTTTTCAGCATGAGACCTCTAAGTCTTTAACCTCTTGTTGTCCATCATCCACACCATTATCTCTTTCTTCCACCAATAACACACATCCTATGATTACTAGGCTCAAAAACAACATTACCAGACCAGTCCAAAAACTTTGTCTTCATGTTGCCACTACTTCGTCTACCTTAGGTTCCTCTTTGTCAGAATCTACAAGCATCAAAACATAACCCAAAAGGATTGATCATGCTTTAAAAGATCCTATGTGGAAGCAAGCGATGATTGATGAGATTACTGCCTTACACCGTAAAGGTACATGGACGCTTGTGCCACCTCCTTCGGGTAAGAATATTGTGGGATCAAAGTGGATTTTTAGGGTAAAGACAAATGAAGATGGCAGTTTAAATAAATATAAAGCAAGGTTAGTTGCACAAGGCTTTACTCAGAAACCTGGACTTGATTATATTGAAACTTTTTCTCTAGTTGCAAAACATACCACTATTCGGGTTATTTTATCCATTGCTCTGTCTAACAATTGGTGTCTCAGACAATTGGATGTTAATAATGCTTTTCTTCAGGGTACTTTGACGGAGGAAGTTTACATGTCTGAGCCTAAGGGTTTTGTTGATTCAATTCGGCCTACTCATGTTTGTCGTCTCCGGATAGCAATTTATGGCTTAAAGCAAGCCCCTCGTGCATGGTATGACGAGTTCAGTGGCTATCTACTATCTTTGGGATTCAAAGCTTCCACAACAGATCTGTGCCTCTTTATTTTCTCAGTTACTAGTATAATCATTTATCTCATAGTTTATGTGGATGACCCCATTGTGATTGGTAATAGTGATTATGTTATTTCATTATTTATCACCAAGCTTGGCACTCAGTTTTTGATCAAGGATTTGGGAAATCTTACTTACTTTCTTGGAGTTCAAGTCATTCGTACATCGAATGGTCTCTTGTTATCTGAAAGAAAATATATAGAGGATATTGTGGATCGTGCTTTCATTGCTGGTGCAAAATCTTCTTTGACCCCACTCGCGACCACTAATTCTCTTATGTTGGATGATAGTGCTCATCTACATGACCCTAAGGAATATCAGGTTCTTGTTGGTTCCCTCCAATATTTGTCACTAACACGTCCGGATATTGCCTTTGCAACACATCGTCTCTCTCAATTGCGCATCACCCCACAACTAACCACTGGACTGCCTTGAAGCGTGTTATTCGCTATCTTATTGGCACAATTAATCATGAATTATTTCTTGACAAGAATTCTCCACTTGATTTACATGTCTTTTCTGATGCAGATTGGGCAGGAAATAAAGATGATCGGACGTCCACTAGTGCTCATGTTATTTTTCTTGGTAAAAATCCAATATCTTGGAGTGCAAAGAAGCAACATTATGTGGCGCGTTCTTCAATCGAGGCTGGATATCGTTCTGTTGCCACAACAGCTGCAGAATTGTGTTGGCTTCGAAATCTGTTTCGAGAACTTTCACTTAGCTTTCTTCGACCTCCTGCCATTTATTGTGATAACTTGGGATCCACTTATTTGGCTGCTAACCCAGTGTTCCACTCTAAAATGAAGCATTTGGAAGTTGATTATCACTTTGTCCAATCTCTTGTTCGTCAAGGATTTCTTCGTGTTGTGCATGTCTCTAGTAAAGATCAACTTGCAGATGCACTGACGAAACCATTAGCTCGTCCAGATTTTCAAAGATTGTGATCCAAGATTGGCGTTCTTGCTCTTGCCACTAACCACTAACCACAATCTTGAGGGGAAATCTTAGAAGAATATCATGACTGATTTCACTCTATCAAATATACTAAATTGATTGTATTATATCTTTAAAAGATAGTAGGATATTTAATTGATTCTTACTGATTTAGATACCTTTTATATCTTTATTCCTTTCTTGGTCATCAAGACTATCATGCATATATGTATGGATAACTTTTATCAATAAGATGGACAAGCATTAACTTTCATTGCAACTGCTTTAATAATTACATTGTAATTACAAATGTATTGTTTGGTTGCACAATTGCAATCATAAGGTTATATTGAATTTTAAGAATATAAGTTAATTATCTAAAATAATAAAAGAAATTATTAGAAAAATAAGAGACTTTATAAATGATATTGAATTAAATATTTAAGATATATATTATCTTTTGAAAAATATTAATCAACAAACATATGTTCTTAACTAATATTATAAAATAATTGATTTATGTTTTTTTTAAATTATATATAAATTAATTAGATTAATAATAAAAACTAAAAGTAAAAGATTTCTATGAACATTATAAATTACATGTTTGCCAAAAAAATTAATATTATAAGTATAATGTCATAAATTATGAAAATATTTGACAAAAAGATAATCTATCAAGTCTAACTAAAAAAAATAAATGACTTGCAATTTAAAATATCAAGTCAATACTACTAAAAAAAAATGAAATTGAAAATGCAACATAAGTTCTAAATTTGAAAAGAAATTTAACGTAATACACTCTTATGTCAAATTTCAACATAACATACATAAATGTGATTTAAAAGAAATGAAAAACGTAAATCTATAACCTTATTTAACAATGAATTTTCCTTCAATTTAAAAATTAGAATACTAAGAAAGTTATGCTAATGAAAAAAATAAACATAGAATAAATAAATAAAATTGATAATATGAAAATTCACATGAAAGTAAAGGTTGAGAATAAGAAGTAAATGAAATATAAATAATATAAAAATATTATATTTTCGAATAATAAAAAAAAGAAATTTAAAATAATAGAAATTAAAAGAAATTAAAAAAAATAATAAAAAATAATCAACTTGTAATTACACCATGTAATTATCAGCAATTCATAACCCCTCCCTGAAAATTGGAGAGTGTAATTATCTCCTACTAATTATACCTAATTACCTGATGACCAAATAATTATATGACCAACTAAATATGTCAGACAATATAACTACACCAAATTTAATTACTATGTAACAATTATACTAAGCCCCATTAAGCCATTTTTCTTTTGGTTGAAATAAACTTTATCACAAACTAGAAGGTCGTGTAATTACAAAATAAAAATGTCTTTATTCAATAGTCTAATTTGACTTGCTAAAAAATATAAAAACTACTTTTTTAAAATTTTATTTCCACAAGGGCCAAAAGATATAAATTCCACCAAAACTCACGTGGACGGCTTTTTAAGGAAAAAAGAAAAAGGATAAAACTTTTCTACTTTGAGTTCCAACTTTTCTATAAATCCTCTAATCTCCAAAATACCCCTAATCCTCATCTGTTATTCAAATTCAAAATAGGGGTGTGTAAAAATTAAATCGAATCGAAAAAAGTATTACTGATCTATTGTTATTGATTTAATGGTTTTATAAAAAAAATTATCAGGTTATGGGTTTTAATTTTTTAATATTGAGCTAACCGATAACCCATTAAGACTATAATAATTTACTATTTTACCTGTACATAAATAGTAAATATTAATCTCAATACCTTACTACTTACTGTCTTTATCATTTTAATCTTCGATTCACACTTTATAGTAACTTTGAGTTTACAACTTCATATTATACAAAACATCAAAACCTAAAGTAAAAACTATATTCCTCTTAATTTCTCTTTGTGTTACACTTATATAATTCTTTTTATGTTAGTTATTACTGTTTTTATTTTTTAAACATTTGTAAAGTTACATTATTGTCTTATCGCATTAAATTATTGGAGAAGTCATATACTCATTTTATAAGCATTCTCTTACTGGTTAAGCCGATAATCGAGCTAGGAATCAAAACCGATAAAAATTTCTTACTGATTTGGTTAATGATTTAGCGTATTTAAAAATCGAAAATCGATATACCGAACCATTGAACCGAACACACCCCTAATTCGAAAACCCAATCAAACATTACAGAAAAGGGTAAAACTGTCATTGCACTACCAACTATTTAATTGTCTTTCCACGCTACTAATAAACTTTCAACAAGGGCCAATTTAGAATTCTTCATTTTTTCTTCTTCTTCATCATCATCATCCTTTCTTTGACAATTGGCATTGACCCTTCTCTTTCACACACTAACACACTTACTGTGTGTATATATACATAAATATATATACTGCAGGAATGTTTGTGTGCTTAAAAATCTTGAATATTTTGGTTTGATCCAGCATTTTCAACTATATATTTGTACATTTTTGTGGTATTTTTCTTACAGATGATTGTGGAGACGGCGTTGGAAGTACTGGTGCCGTCGTGGTGGGAGGTGAAAGTCACCGTTGCCGCCACGGCATTCGTCATCATTTCTTACTGGTTCTTTGCAGTCGGCGGCGATGCTAACGCTGGTGGTCGTGTTGCCGTCGATGATGATTCTGGCGTCGTCGATGATAAAGACAAGGTATTCTGAATTTCTGTTCTTGCTTTTGAAAATGTTGAAGAAATGTATATGAAGAGAATTTTTGTAACCGCTTGTTGTTATTGGATTTGGTCTATTTACTGGTAGTATAGTGATGGTGTGGCTTAGAAGGATGTTACGGGTTCGAATCCTTAGCAAACAAAAACCTACTATTTAAGTGGAAGGGAGTATTGAACTGTTCGCGACTGGCCATTGGGAATTTATAGGTTATTAAAAAAATTTGGGCATTGATGATGGGATTTTGGGGCTAATTTAGAAGCATTCTGCTAATTGAATGTGATATCTTTTGTGGGATTACTGTAATGGTTCTGTTTCCGTATCAGTTAGTTACATGAAACTCTTTTGAAGTGATAGAAAGTGACTTTGTTATTGCGTGACAGCAATGATATAACAAAAGGTGAAGAATCATACTGCATTGATATTGTAGTAATACTGATTACTGAATCAGGAAGGTTTTCCTTTGGAAGTTGAAGGCCACTGGGCAGAGAAGGCTTCTTTGGGATGTTGCTGGTTTTAGAAGTAAAGTAAAGTATTTCTAATTAAGTTGCTCTTTTGAAAATGCAGAACTTTGCCTCCATATGTATTATCTTAGGTAGGATAAGGCCGAATTCACTTCAGTTTTTGTTTGTTTCCTACTTTAGAGCCATTGCTTACTTGAGTATTGTGGTAATGAAAAGATGCCAAGAATCAGGAAACACAATTGCAATACTGCTTGACTAACTTCTTTAAATATAATATTTGTTATATTCTAGTCAAAATTGCTGCCTCATAGGGGTTAGGCTAGTGAATTGTGGTTGGTGATCACTCAGTCTCCTACTAAATGCCAAGATGTGTGAAATATGACGTGTTCTATGATAAGTCTGGTTTAAATGGCTTATGATTGAGGCATAGTACTAGTAGTAGTGATAGTATATTATAAGAGAGGAAGGGCAAATTTACTTTGGTTTTTGTTTGTTTGTTTCTATTATATCTTAATAAAGAGCCATTGCTTACTGAGTGTCTTGGTAATGAAAAATATGCCAAGAATCAGGAAACACAGTTGCATTTATGGTTGACCAGCTTCTTTAAATGTTATATTTGTTTATATTCTAGTCGAAATTGCTGCCTTGGAAGTGAAGTTTCAGAAAAACATTTCTGCTTGGAAGGGTTAGACCAGGGAATTGTGGTTGGTGGTCACTCAGACTCCTACTAAATGCCAAAATGTGTGAAATGACGTGTCTTATGTGAAATTTGTTTTAACTGGTTTATGATTGAGGCATAGTAATAGTAGTAGAGTTATAGTTGTAGTATATAATCAGAGCCATATGCCTAAATATTTCAGAAACCTAACAATATGCTGTGGCATTATGTGGACATGGAATATAATGATAAATTATGTGTGACAAAAGATATAATTTTTGATCTATTAGGTTTTTGTTGTAGCCTACCACAAATAACCTATTTTTTTTTGCTGAAACAAAAATAATGATAGCATTGCCTTCCCTATTAGCAGCTGGATGTTGGCAAAACAGTGAACTCAATTAAAGGCAACAGTGTCAATGAACTGATGAGGATGCACATCTATACAGTAATAATATAGTTAATTCAGTGTTATTCTTCCATGAAGGAAAAATGAATATAAAAAGGTAGAATTTTTTATGGATGAGTTGACAATCTTCAGATGGGTCCCTTCTTTTTTCTTCATGTAATAAGTTGGTTAATCAAATTAATTTCATTGTGAAATAATTTGGGAATGAGGCATAGTTGATTGATTGGATGTGTAAGGTTATTCTCTTTGCTTCAAATGTTTGGGTGTTGTTGCAAGGTTGTTTTTATTTTTCTCTGATCAGTGTGTCTTTTAGGGACTCCAAACTTTTTTAAGATGAAAATTCGGATGGTGGTTGCACTTGGGACGGTGTTTTAGGGAAGATTTTAAAATAAATTTTAGAGAAGTCTTTTATTGGAATGTGTTTGCACTACATGTCTGATTAGATGTTTCTGGATCAGACTCTCCACATATTATTAATTTCAGTTTCACCATATAAGCTTTTCATTTGTATCACGAATAATGTGCATGAAAGGAGCCATGGTTAGGATTTGAAGAATAATAACAGAGAAGAGAACATGTAAATTCAAAGAAAAACTAAAAAATTATAAAAAAAAAATTAAAGAAATTGTTGGCTAACAGGAATAAGTTTGGTTTGGTTCAGGCCTGCTCAAAACAAAAGGGTGGTTTGTATATTCAGAAAAAATAAATTCTTTGGGAAAAGAAATTTGTTTTATTCGCCAAGAGATGTCTTTCCTTTAAACCTTCTTTAGAGAAGTCTTTTAGGCGAAGCACTATTTTTAGTGCAGCTTATTGTATTTGAACTTAAATATATGTTAGCTTAAGCTAGTGGATCCATTTTGTACTTAGCTAAATTTTGATTTCTTTTGATTTTGGGAAATGTAAAATGTGGGGTCAAATTTTATTTTCTGATGGTATATGTATAAGGTGAATGTTCCACTTCAAGAGAGTTGACATTACTTTGAAGGATCCAACTCGAAACGAAACCCTCAATTCGAAATAAGGAGTATACACTTGGTTATTGTGAAAAAACTAACTAGTAAGATTTAAAGTACTTGACAGCAGTTTTTTGGAGTTCTAAACTTCTCAGCTGATTAATATGTTTGAACATGTTTCTTTTAAGAGTTAGTAAATACAAGAACTCGGCTAAACAACAACAACAACAACACACCTAGTGAAATACCACTGGTGGAGTCTAGGGAGGATAAAATATGCGCATACCTTACCACTACCTCATGGAGGTAGAGAGGTGTTTCCGCAAGACCCTCAGCTCAAGAGCAGCAAACCCAAAGAAAACATAGCAACTGACAAAGGAAGCAGTGCAAAACTTACAAGAAAAGAACAAGAACAACAAAATAGTGTGATAATCAAACACAGTAAACAATAGATGATGATAGATATCAAAATCAAGTACTACAATAATATGACTAGTACAATGACAAACACCAACAAGCCTAAACCCTCATAAAGCAAAAGCAGCCCTCCACTACCTATTAACCTTCTACCCTAGTACACGACCTCCATAGCCTCCTATCTATGTCATGTGCTCGGTACGTTGAAGATGCACCATGTCCTACCTTATCACCTCTCCCTAATATTTCTTCAACCTACCTCGGCCTCTCATTGACCCTACTATCTTCAACTTCTCGCACCTCCTTACCGGGGCATCCTACATCTCTTCACATGTCCAAACCATCTCAATTTCCCTTCCCTCATCTTGTCCACCACGGAGGCCACTCCCACTTTGTCCCGGATATACTCATTCCTAATTTTGTCGCTCTTAGTATGCCGACACATCCATCTCAACATCCTCATTTCGTCACTCGCATCTTCTGAATATAGGAGTTCTTGACTGGCTAGCACTCTGTCCCATACAACAAAGCCGGTCTAACCACCACTCTATAAAACTTACCTTTATGCTTTGGTGGTATTTTCTTGTCACCCATAACGCTAGATGCAAGCCTCCGCTTCATCCTAGCCGTACCAATACAGTGTGTGACATCATTATGGATTAACCTATATCCTTGGATCTTAAACCTCAAATAATTAAATCTTTCACTCTTCGAGATAACTTGAGTATCAAGTCTCACTTTTACGTCTGTCTCAAGCATCTAATCACTAAATTTACATTCCAAATACTCTTTCTTGGTCCTTCTCAGCCTAAACCTTTTAGACTCCAAAGTCCGTCCCCACGCCTTCAATCTATCGTTGACTTTGCCGTGAGTCTCCTCGATCAAAACAATGTCATTTGCAAATAACGTATTACTTAGGTTGGCTTAATTTATTCAGTTTAAAAGTGAAAATGATTGAATTATCTTTAAATATAGATTGACTTTATAAAAAATAAAATAAAATAGAAATTGTAAATTTAAAACTCCAGGGTAAACATGTGAAGTCATTAAGTTTTAAAAAAATAAAAATAATGGGAAAACAGTACTAGTCAAAAACCTTTGAAAATATAATTAGAGAATCCCAAGTTAAAGAAGGCTGATGTTGACTACCTAGAGAGTAAATAAGTTAAACAACATGAGAAGGTCTTGGTAATATATTCCACCATAGTGGTGAACAATTGTGAATGCCTTACCTTTCTAATCCACAAAAACCAGAAAGTAATCAGTGGTGTCCACATGTTCACTTGCTTAACATAATAAAAATTCTGTGATGTCCTAGTGTAATATATGTGCCAAGTTAAAATAAGAAATTCAATTTGGAACTGAAGAATTTTTTTATGGAAAAGATTTTGTCAAAATTATCAGTAATAGTGCCACTCATCTCTTGGATACAGGTTACTGGGTAATGAGCTGATAATTTAACATAAATGTATGTTATGTTTACTTTAGAATGTTTATCAGGAGGCCTGGTTAACAGGAATCTCTTGCTTTAAGGAAGTCTCTAGAAAAGAAATTCATTTTGATTTGACTTTGAGAATTATAAACCTTGATGGGTTTTTTTAACTGGATAAGATTTAGAAGTCATTTGTTTAGGTTGTTGACTTCTTTTTTTGGGGGGCTTTTGTTTCCATTCTTCTCTTGGAACGTGTGGTTATAAACTTATTATCCATTTACATTGAGTTATTTTGACTTGTTTGACATGTAGTTGTGCACTTATTTTGTAGATAGGCCAGTTAAAAGGAGACTCGCCAACTAATTCTGCATATATAATCAAGGTATATTTCTGAACTTGGTGCTCATGCAATATGCTATCATTCTTATCTCTAGTTGCGGTGTATTGTACTCTATTGCTATTACTTACCAATGTAATTCATTAAATTGACTCATGTGTTGGGATTTTAAATGCATGTAATAGGTATTTTAGGAATTCATACTTGACTAGTGTTTCTCCGATATTCCAGGTTGAACTGTTAGCTGCTAAAAATCTAATTGCTGCTAATTTGAATGGCACATCAGATCCATATGCAATCATCACTTGTGGTGCACAAAAAAGATTTAGGTGACACGCTTATCTATTTTTGTTATCCTGTTATCTTGGATGGCCAGTCATATAAATAGATGTCTCCTAGTTGATGCGACTGAAACCTAGTTGATTGTTGAAGAGGAAGTGTGATGATTTTCTTGTGCAATTACATATTTGTAAATTGAATGTCCCTTCCAGTTGCTATTAAAGTTCACTTAAATAAGCATTTATGAATTTATTTTAACTTGAAAATCAACTTTAGAACCTTATTACTCCCTCCATTCCATATTAATTGAATTTTTGAGGCATTTTCCATTTTTCAAATAACTTAATTGTTCAATCTTCAAAATCTTCAAGACTATTTTTAAAATATTCTTCCAATTTTACCCTTCATTTGGATTTTCAATGTGATGACTTCAATAAATTTGACAATAATTAATAAGGGTAAAAATGGAAAACTATGTTCAATTTATGTCTTAATCTACTTTTCTTAAAAGGGTGTGAAACACCTCAAAAATTCAATTAATATGGAATGGAGGGAGTACATCTTAGTCCTTTCCTTTTTTTTGAAAGTTAGTGCTAGTTTTGCTTCTTGCTGGTACAATGATCTTCTGTTTTTCATCATCTTCCAGTTTTTTTTTTTTATATAAAATGATGACTATGAAAATATTGTTAAAATGAGATAAAGTTGTTTTGAACTTTATGTTTGAGAAAATGGACAATATCTTACATTGGCGGTTGGTTTGGTTTTAAGATGGTGTTTTACTTCATGTACTCTGTAGTAACAGTTGAAAGTCAGTCACAGTTTATCTGATCAGCTGAGAGCATACGTTCTCTTCTCAGTCAGTTGATTTGTTTACAATGGGTACAATCTAAGATTTGTCTTTAAATTCATCATCAGAAGCAGAGGGCTCCAGCTGGGGGTGGGGGTGGAGAGAGGGAGAGACAGTTATGTTGACTAGGCTTGAGATATGTGTGTGTGCGTGTGTATGCAAGCGTACACTTGGGGTGATGAGGAATGGTTAAGTTCTTATACAAAAGCATATATTCAGCATGTATTGTTGCATCTGGTTAACAATGTGTACTCTTGTACCTGTTGTAGTTCAATGATCCCTGGCTCAAGAAATCCTATGTGGGGGGAGGGGTTCAACTTTTCTGTTGATGAGCTGCCAGCAGAGGTAAGCTATTCAACAGATCTTGTCAAATGAAGCACAAGTGCTATATTGTGTTTCTGTAATACTCTTTGGAGGTAGTGCTCTAAGTCATTTATTACATTAACTTGTGGCTACATGAATTTTGGTGTTCTTGGTCATTTTCTTTAGAATATTTCTCAATTGTGCTTGATTGTTCGGCAGATAAATGTGACAATATATGATTGGGACATAATTTGGGAAAGTACTGTTCTTGGTTCAGTGACTGTACCTGTTGAAAATGAAGGTCAGACAGGTGCTGTTTGGCATACATTGAACAGCACATCAGGGCAGGTATCTATTGATTATTTCATCTTCTTGTTTTCCTTTTTCTTTTGGAATAATGCATCATGGTTTTGCTTGATTCCGTAAAGTTCTATCCTTATGAAACTAAATCATGCCCGTTTCATTTCCAGGTTTGTCTTCACATTAAAACAGTAAAACTCAATATCAATTCATCAAGGTAGGGCGTTGTCTTCTTTTTGGGGCATTACATTTCTTCCTGTTTGAATGTCAACCATTCTGCATGGGACAAATGCTATTTACTAAAATGCTTAACCTGATAATATTCATTTTAGTTTATTAGGCTCCCTTTCTTGGTTCATGCATTCTCTTTTTTTGATGAACTTGGTCCATGCATTCTCTGCCTCTCAAATGTACATACTATATCAAGATGAGCTGATGTTGAGATTTATGTCGTCGTCATTGTTAGAGTGGATAAAAGTCTCACATTAGTTGGGGAATGGACTGGTGGTCTCCTTGTATGGACTTCGACAATCCTCCCCTCATAAGCTAGCTTTTGGGGTTGAGTTAGGCCCAGGTGCCCTATCTTTACATAGTATCAAAGTTAGGTTCATCCCTTGTTTGGGCTCCCAATCCACGCTTCAGTTGGGCTTGAGCGTGAAGGGGATGTTAGAGTGGATAAAAGTTCCACATTGGTTGGGGAGTGCACTGGTGATCTCCTTGTATGGACTTAGACAATCCTCCCCTCATGAACTAACTTTTGGGGTTGAGCTAGGCCCAGATGTTATCTCGACCTTTGCCTTCTTTTCTATTTAGATTCCCGTTATCTTTATAATCATCATCAACATACCCAGTGAAATCCGACAAAGTGGGGTCTGGGGAGGGTAAGTGTACGCAGACCCTACTACTACCTCGTGTAGGTAGAGAGGCTGTTTTAGAAAAACCCTCGGCTCAAGTGTATCAAACTCAAGTACAAGAAGAAGAAATCAATACAGAAAGCATAACAGCTAAAAAGAAAAGCAATGTAAAGTCTACAAGAGAACTATAACAACAAAATAATGTGATAATTGGAAATCAATAACAAGACAACTATAGTGGCACGACTAGTCCTATGACATGCCATAAACCTTCACAAGGCAAGGCAACACTCTACCCCTACTAGCCTTTTACCTTAATACGCGACATCCACTCCTTCCTATCTAAAGTCATATCCTCGGTAATATGAAGTGGCACCATGTCCTGTCTAATCACCTCTCTCAAATACTTTTTTCGACCTACCCTTACCCGTCCGCGTGCCCCCTACATCCAACCTCTTGCATCTCCTCATTGGGGCGTCGGTACACCTCCTCTGCACAATCCCAAACCATCTCAATCTCGTTTCCCTCATTTTGTCTGCCACAAAGGCCACTCCCACCTTCTCCCAAATAACCTCAGTCCTAATCTTGTTAATCTTAGTACGCCCACACATCCATCTTAACATCCTCATCTCCGTAACATGCATCTTCTGAACATGTAAGTTTTCGACCGGCCAACACTCCACCCATTAGAACAAGGACGGTCTAATCACCACTCTGTATAACTATCTTTTAAGTTTAGGTGGTACCTTCTTATCACACAATACTCTAAAGGTAAGCCTCCATTTCATCTATGCCGCCCCAGTGTGATGTGTGACATCATCGTTCATGTGCTACTCTGGATGACAGACCAAGATATTTGAAGCTTTCTATCTTGGGAATAGTCTGAGAGGCAAGCCTCACTTCCACGCCTGCTTCATCCAACAAAAGACTGAATTTGCACTCCAAATATTTTGTTTTGGTCCTACTCAATTTGAACCCTTTGGACTTCAGAGTTTGTCTTCAAACCTCAAACCTATCATTAAATCTGTTCTATGTCACATCAATCCGTACTATGTCATGCGCAAATAACATACACCATGGAATCTCCTCCTAAATAGACCGCATCAGCTCAGCCATCACCAAGGCAAATAGAAAGGGCTCAACACTGATCCCTAATGTAGCCCCATCTCAACAGGGAAGTGCTCCTAGTCTCCTCCCACCATTCTAACCCGAGTTTTGGCTCCATCATGCATGTCCCTTATTGCCTAATATAAATCATCGGGACACCTCTAGAGGACATCCCTTAGAACTTTGTCATAAGCCTTCTCAAGATCAAGGAACACCATATGTAGGTCCTTCTTTCTGTCCCTATATTTCTCCGCCAGCCTCCGCACAAGATAGATTGCTTCAATAGTCGATCGCCTGACATGAATCCGAATTGATTCTCTAAAATAGACACCCTCTCCTCACCTCATCTCCACCACTCACTCCCAGGCATTCATAGTGTGGTTTTGATACCCTGTAACTATTATAGTTTTGGATATCACCCTTGTTCTTGTACAATGGAACCATTGTACTCCACCTCCATTCACCGGCCATTTTAGTTGTCTTAAAAATAGCATTAAATAACCTAGTCAACCACTCCATACCTGCCTTATTAGTGCTCTTCCAACATTCCATCGAAATCTTATCGGGTCCGGTCACTCTTCCCCTGCTCATCCTACTCATAGCACGTCTCACCTCCTCAACCAGAGAAAATGACCAAAATGGTCCTTAAAGTATGGGTAATGCTTTATTGTATTTCACTTAATTGAAATGGTCCTTAATGTATAATAAATGTGATCATTTAGTCCTTAATATATTTCTCTGGATTGAAATGATCCTTAATGTATAACAAAAGGTGTTCATTTTGGTCATTTACCCTAAACTTAATAAATTTATCAAAATAACATGTTAAATTTAACTGTGGACCCCACATGGCTAACAAAATCCGTCATTGTTGTCTTCTTTGTTGGCTCCATCAAAAAAATCCATGAAATCTAACACCATTTTCTTTACTTTCTCAACAAAATTTGTTATTCTCTTGCTTAGCTGAAATGGGTATTAGGTTAGTGGAGTAATATTTTAGAAAAAAGAAAATCATAAATTTTGTTGGAGAAATTGGTGTTAGATTTTATGTTCTTTCTTTGGACCTAACAACAAAAAAGACAATGGTAAATTTTGTTAGCCACGTAAAGTCTAGTAAAAATTTTTTGACAAAAAAAAGTCTAGTAAAATTTAACACTTTTTTTGATAAATGTATTAGGTTTAGGGTAAAGGACCAAAGTGAACACCTTTTTTCATTCATTGAGGGTCGTCATTTCAATCAAGTGAAATATATTAAGGACCAAAATGAATACCTTTGTTGTATATTAAGGACCAAAATAAAGCATTACATATACATTAAGGATCATTTTCTCCCTCAACGCTAAAACACCTACAGTACCCAAAATCCCGAAGACTTTTAGAGTGCACCAATTCACCCAACACAATGTCTCTGTCCCCTTTTTTCGTTTTAGAGTTCGTGGAAGTAAGCTTGCCACTTTTGCTTAATGGAGGTCTCGTCTGCCAACACCTTCTCTTCCTCATCCTTCCTGCACTTCACTTGATCCAAGGTTGCAAGCTTTTCTCTCTCGCTTTCACGAGCCTATACAATCTCTGATCCCCACCTTTATCCCCTAGCTCGACGTATAAGCGTTCAAAAGTTGTCGTCTTAGCATCCTTGGCTGCCAACTTTGCTTCTGTCTTCGTCGTCTTATATATATCCCTAAGCATCCATTATCCATCCTCATCCAACCACTTCATATAGGCAACCTTCTTTGCCTTGAACTCCTCCATTCCATCACCAAAGATCCCTCTTGATACCCCTGGTATCTCTGGAGCTGCTTTCTCTGAAAGGGCAGGAGTCAAGTCACCCCATCTAATCCTCAGTCGATCATAAAAAGTTTCTTCCTTCTATCCTTCTTATCTCCAAGTCCATCACCAAAAGCCTATGTTGGATAGTAATATCTTCACTCTGAATAACCTTGCAATCCTTACAAAGCTATCACCCTTCTGAAGGAGTAAGTAATGTATCTTACAAAGATATATGCTTTAAGGAATCTTACAAAGATGTTGGATTTATGTGCTATACGGAATTCTGTGATTGGATTACTTACAAAGATGTTTATGTGTAATGTTACATAGTAGTTGAGTGAAACTTTTCTTCCCTTTTCCTTTTCCCCTTGTAAAGTCTCCTAATGGTTGGGAATGCTGCAAATGATCCTACATTGAAGTTTTGCGTTTTGCTGAGTTATGCCTGAAGGAATCTTGGGTATGACCCTAGTTTAGTAGGAGTTATTATAAGGCATGTGACTTGTCCGACACGCACCCGTCGACATTTTTGAAGAGTCCGAGCAACATAGAATGTCACAATTCTGAATGACTTGAATGTTTCTAAGAGGATATTTTCAATTCCCTAAGTTATGTTCTATAGAGCTTGTATGGTTAAGCTATGAGAAACATAGGAGAAAATATTATTGAATTGTGTACCTACATTGTTATATCTAAGTTGCTCAGACTTGTGTGTGGGTGTTCGATACGGGTGCGGATCTAAAAGTCAGATCCTTCATGATCTAATTTTTAAGATTCGGGAATATGGATCCATGTATGGATACGGGTGCGGGGATTCACTTAAAAACAATTAAAATATCTAAAAATAGAGTGATAAAACCTAAATTATGAGATATTATGCGGAGAACTTGAGGAGAATCCTAGAAAGGAGATTAAAGGAAAAAAAGTGACTTAGTAATTTCTATATAAAAGGTATTCCGTTTTGTTTAATTTTCACCTTAGCTTTTGTATTGATTACTAAAATCATTAAAACTGTCCAAACTTTCCCCTCGATTTTGGTCAAAGTACCCAAAATCGGTTGACCAAAGTGGACACGGATCCCACACCCACACGCATATCGTGTCGACATGGATATGGCACCAAAAGTGAAGAGTCTGAGCAACTTAGGTTATAATCTGTCAAGCTAGTGCATACGCATCATATGTACCGAGCTTGTTACAGATGTACTTAATACGAGGATTATGAGGGACTTAATGAAAATATCTGCAAGATGATCACTTGACTTCACAAATTTTGTAACAATATCTCCAGAGAGCTTCTTTTCTATGAAAAAAAGTGACTGTCAATCTCAATGTGCTTAGTCCTCTCATAAAATACTGGATTTGATGCGATATGAAGGGGTGCTTGGTTATCACATAGAAGTTCTATCTGTCCAAATTTTAGTTCTCTAAGCAACTATTTAATTCAAATTAGCTCGCAAGTTGTTACATTCCTCGATATTCCACTCGCACACTAGATCGAGCAACCACACTCTGTTCTTTGGTCTTCTGAGACACCAATTTACCTTCTACTAAAACACAATAGCCGGATGTAGAATGTTTATCAGAAGGTGATCCTACCCGATGAACATATGTATATCCCACGATTTGCTCATTGCCTCAATCCTCGAAGAGTAGTCCCTTACCTAGTGTTGACTTTATATATCGCAGAATGCAGACAACTGCATCCCAATGAATTTCAGGGGGAGAATCCATAAACTGACTTACAATACTCACAGGAAAGAAATGTTAGGTCTAGGTACTGGGAGATATTTCAACATACCAATCAATCACCTATATCTTCTAGGATCACTAAGTGGCTCCCCCGTCCTAGTAGGAGTTGAGCATTTGGATCTATAAGAGTGTCAATGAGTTTACAGCCCATCATTCCTATCTCCTCAAGAATGTCTAAGGCATACTTGTGTTGCAAAATAACAATACTTGATCTGGATTGAGCAACTTTAATACCTAGAAAATACTTCAGTCTGCCAAGGTATTTGGTTCAGATATGCTGAATGAGTTGTTGCTTAAATTAGTGATTCCATCTTGAATTGCCAGTAATAGTGATATTGTCAACATAGACTACCAAATAAATACATAGATTTGGAGCAGGATGTCGATAAAACACATAGTGATTAGGGGTGGCAAAATCAAATCCAACCCGCCCATTCATTAGCTCAACCCATTAAAAATTGGGTTGATATGCAACCCGAATTGGCTCATGAGAAATCTTGTCAAAATATTTTTAAAAAACTTTTATTTCAATTTAGTGTGTGATATATAGCCATAATAAAGAAAAAAAAAATTATTAGGTACTAAAATAGTTTAAAAGAACAAATTAAACAATTAAACTTAGTAAAAATTGGATTGGGTTGAGTCTTGACTCGTTATATAACTCATTGCCTAACTCGTTTTGACCCAAACAAATTTGGGTTGGGTTGAGTTTTGACCCGATTGTTGTCTTAACCCATTATGACCCACCCAATTGCCACCCCTAATAGTGATCAACCTCATTACGAGTACCGCCAAACTCATGAATTACTGTGCTGAACTTTCCAAACAAGGTTTGAAGAGACTATTTCATATTATAAAGTGACCGTTGCAATCAACACACCAGGTTAGACTCTCCCTGAGCCACAAAACCAGGTGGTTGCTCCATATAAACTCCCTCCTAAAGGTCAATATGGAGAAAAGCATTCTTATTGTCCAACTGGTAAAGAGGCCGGGGGAGGACAACATCCATGGATCGGAAAAAAAAGCACATATGCTAATTTAGCCATGAGAGAGAAAGTATTACTCTAGTCAAGCCTAAATATCTGTGTATATCCATATACTTTTTTTAATGATTTCAACCTCTTTCCTGTGGTTAGATCTAATTTTCCGGCAACTGAAACTGTTTTTTTCTAGATCCGGTTGCGACTAAGATTTCACAAGATGTCTTGATTTGATGTATTTAGCTCCAAAAATACGAAAATCAGAACTTCAAGCCTTAAGATTACTTCTGAATCATTAATGGGAAGTTCAAACTATTTAGCATGGGTTTCCGTGATTGAGTTGTGGTGCAAAGGTCAAGGTGTTCAATATCACTTAACCCAAAAGGCTATTGAGAAGTGAGATAGATGAAAAGACCAAAGCACCGCGGGAGAAGTTTGACGCTCAATTATATAGTCTCTAGTGACGATCTGTTGATTCCAAGATAATGCCCTTGTATCTTCCATTCCATACATGCTATTAAATCTGTGAAAAGGTTCGCACTTAATATACTTATGACACATCTCGTTTTTAAGACGTGATATCTCGAATGAAAAAAATAAAGAAACAAGAATCAAGTATGTCAACTTACTTGGGACAAGTACATGCAATCATGGAGGAATTTGAGGGTTTGATGCCAGTTACTACAAACGTAGAAAAGCCAAATCTGGGTGTGATAACACATAATGATAACATACAGGTTGGTACTAAAAAAAAATAACACAGAGTAACAAATTATCATTAAGAAGAGGGGGGAAATTAACCAAACAGTGAAACACTTCTATGAGAAAAGGGGAAGGGGGGAAGAAAGAGCATGTATGATTTTGCTGATCCTTTATTTCACTAGTTGGCAAGTGGATGATGAGATGTAAGCTAATTTCTTTGTTTTGCAATAATTAGATAATGCTTTTCATGTTCAATTTGAACATTACTCGCTTTCAATGGAGAGTTGCAGGAGACTTATTTAGTACAAATTACTCTTTCGATTGCTGGAATATTATTTATCCATCAGCAAAATAACTGATGATAAATTGTTATAGTTCTGTCGTATCTATCTCACCAAAAGATAATATTTCTGGGAGCTGGTGGATAATGTTCTTTCCCTCTCCGTTTCTGGTGTCTTAGGGGTTTGAATGGTTGTGCTAATACTCGTAGAAGGATTGCTTTGGATAAAGAAGGGCCTACTGTAGTTCATCAGAAACCTGGGCCACTGCAAACAATTTTTGATCTCCCTGCTGATGAGGCAAGTGCTGATTTGGTTTTATAGAGGTCTCTTAGTTTTGCAAGGATACTAAGTTGGACAACTAGACTATTCAGCTTGATTGCTAAAGGAACCATTAATTGCAGGTTGTTGAGCATAGTTATTCTTGTGCACTTGAGAGGTCATTTTTGTATCATGGACGTATGTATGTCTCCTCGTGGCATATTTGCTTCCACTCAAATGTATTCTCAAAGCAAATGAAGGTCAGTTCCACCTTAAGTTCTATGCCCTAAATTGGAAATTGGAACCTTATGAATTTGCTCTTTGAATTTTTTCAAGCATTTACTCGTGTTGTTTGTTTGTTTGTCTTTTTTCCCCAATGCTAATTAGCTTGTCCTGGGTGCAGTACTTCCATTCAGAACGCTAGTTACAAATATTTCTACTGTGACCTCACTGGTGGATATTTTGAACTTCGGAGAATGTTATTCAAAATTTGTTGGAATTTTTTTCTGATTGATAAACAAAATTTGATTCTGGCTAAAAACATCCCTTTCTAATTCTCTAGTATATGCGCTTGGTTCTATATCCTAATATTTTCTTTCCAACCCTGGATCTAACTGGTCAAGACTGTATTTTCCCCCAGCCATTTTGATATTGTAAATTTATCTCAAGAATGCTGAAGCTTGTGTATTTGACCATGCTTAGATTTCTCTTTTCACAGGTAGTTATTCCTTTGGGAGATATTGACGAGGTATGACATTATCTGTGCATGTTATCAGGATTGTCATTTCCAAGTTGTCACGGTGCTTTGGGAAGGTTGCCTTGGAAATATTTTGGAAATTGATGGTAGTGTTATTTTGCTTTTAGATAAGGAGGAGCCAGCATGCATTCATTAACCCTGCTATTACAATAATTCTGCGTACAGGTGCAGGCGGTCATGGGGTACCTCCTTTAGGAAATCCTGATGGTTAGTAAACCAACCTATTTTGTGAATTTCAATAATTTTATATGCTTTAAATGAGTCGGCAAGTTGGATAATGAATGAGCTTTTCAGTTCTTTTGGGTTTTGGTTTGTTTGGAGGAAAAGCCCCGTGCAAACTGATTTTGGGTTGAGGTGTAGAATGATTGACTGATTTGTTAGGAGGAGATTCTCTGATGACTTGTATAACTCTTGTAGACTCCTAGCGCGATAATGCGAGAGTCTAAAGTTCATGCCAAGTTTCCTTTATATAGTATCTACTTTTATAAAGAAAATGATGACTGACCCAAAATAGTATCTACTTTTATTTTAAGAAAAATGAAATTTTACAACAAGAAGCAGCAGTCCATTGAGTCTATTGTGAAGCAGATAATCCAAGAACATTCATTCAAGAGGAGCTATAAGCAGCAGTGTTGGCTGGATCACCATAACTTCTACCCTATATAGAGTAGAGAATAGTGTGGTGTAGGATTATTTTTGTTTGGTAGGTGCTAAGCTGAACTGTAACAACAAACACAGCATACCCAGTGAAATCCCACTAAGTGGGGTCTGGGCTTCTGAATGGCAGTTGGGTCATAATGTCAAATAGGTATTTATTTTTCTTTGTTCATTGCTCACTTGATAATAAAATGGTTCCTTAATTATCAAAAATAATTAATGAAATTTTAAGTACCATATAACCCAGAATTACTCAGATGGAAAGCACAATATTTATCTAGAGGTGGAAGATTGACCCTGATCAACTTAGTCTTATGCTTTGCCAACAGATTTGATGTCAGTTTTTCCTCTCCCACCTAAGGTGGAGGAAAGAATTGATGCATTAAGGAGGAATTTTTTGTGGAATGGAGAGAAAGAGTACAAAGGATTTCATTTGGTCCAATGGAAGACTGTAAATCTTTCAAAGAAACAAGGTGGGTTAGGCATTAGAAACTTGAAGAAACAGAACAAAGGCCTTATGATGAAGTGGTTGTGGAGATTTCCTAAAGAGGAGCAGTCCCTTTGGGTTAGAGTGATTCAGGCCAAGTATGAGAAGATAGACTACTGGAAAACTAAGGAAGTGACTTCTAGGGATGGCAATGGGGCGGGGCGGATGTGGGGTGGGGCGGGTTTAAGGCCTATGCGGGGCGGGGCGGGTTTAAGGTTGTGCGGGGCAGGTGGGATGTGGGGCGGGTTGAAGTGGGTTTTTTTAAAACTAATGCGGGTTGGGGTATATGTGATTTTATGTGGGTATAAATTTAATTTTAATTTTTTACATGTTATAAGAGTGATAGAGCATTATTTATTAAGATAATTTCTTTAAAGCTACTAAAATATTCAAGATAGTAAATGAAAATGGTTCAATAAAAAATAATTCAATTTCTTACATGTTTTCCAGTTGACCTCAAAAAAATAAAAAATTTAGTCACTATCCTATTAAATTAATACAACTTAATGAAAAAATGAATTTATTTTTATGAATTTTATTTTTAGTATCAAACTTAACTAGAAAAAGAAAAATATTAAAAAAAGTATGCGAGGCGGATTCATGTGGGGCGGGTCTATGCAGAGCGGGTTGAAAATGAAAAAAAATGTTATGCGGGGCGGGGAGGGGCGGATTAAAAATTTTGCAGGTAAAGCTCAACCTGCCCCCGCCCCCACCCCGCACCACCCCATTGCCATCCCTAGTGACTTCTGCCTATGGTATTAGCCTATGGAAATCAATCAGAGATTTGTGGCATAGTTTCTTCAAAGAAATAGATTCAATGGAAGGAAGATTTTGTTTTGGGATGATAACTGGTTAGGAAATGGCAGCCTCAAGCAACTCTTTCCAGACATCTATCTGCTGAATCAACAACAACAGGCCGTTGTGCAAGAAGTCTGGTCCATCTACAAGACTGGGAGGTGGATAGACTAGCTGAATTTTATGGCACCCTAGACCATTTTGAAGGATTGAAAGAGGGAGAAGACACTCTCAGGTGGATTCATCACAACAAAGGTATCTTTACAGCTAGCTCTGCCTACAAGAATCTGGATCAAATGGGACTCAACTCAGATTTTTGCCTTGGAAGCTTATCTGGAAAGTCAAAATTCCATATAAGGTGGCAATCTTTACTTGGTTGGTAGTAAAAGAGGCAGCACTAACTCCGGAGAATCTCATGAAGAGGGGAATACATATGTGTCCTTTATATTTTGTTTGTGAGAAACGGGCAGAGATAATCAACCATCTGTTTCTTCACTGTATGGTGGTTAGACAGCTTTGGAACTTGTTTACGAGCTTTAGGGGCACAAGTTGGACCATGCCACAAAGGGTAAGTCAGGCTATAGAAAGCTGGAACAATGAAGGTAGTGGCAGTACAGACCAAAGCAGATGGGGAATTGTCCCAGCAGTGATTTGGCGGACCATATGGAAGGAGAGAAATATGAGATGTTATGAGAGCATGAGTAGTCCTTTACATAGGATTAAAATGAATTGCATTATCACTTTTTGCTATTGGTGCAGTTCTGAGTATGTAGATGATCCTATACATATTATAGATATCCTAGGTTTTTTGTTAGATGAAGTAGGATCTAGTTTAGTTTTGTTGAGTATACTCAACTGTATGTAGCTCCATGATGTAAATTTGGGATCCTACACAAAACTGTTACCTTTGTCAAAAAAAAGAACTTCTCAATGCAAGTATTATTTTTCTGCCACCTAATACTCAAAGCTTTTAGGGAAAAATGTAAAACAAAAAAGAGCTCTAATATCTACCTGTTGGCTGGCACCACATGTTTTTCAAGCTAACAACAAACTAAAAAACATACACAATTAACTCCTCTATCAATACTCTTTCAAGAGAAAACGAGAAACAAATTGCAAAGAAGAGAAGTTCTTTATTTTAACTCATGTTAGATGGTTGAATTTAATATTGACATTCTTGATTCTTAATATCAATTGTCTAATCACATAACTTTGCAACTTCCAGGGAGAGTACGATATATGTTCGCGTCTTTTTGGAATAGGAATCATGCAATTAGAGCCTTGCAACGATCATCAACGAACTATCATGCCATGCTAGAAGCAGAGAAAAAGGTATTTCTGTGCTTTGATTAGTCCTTTTTTCTAATTATTTGAGACATTAAGCAGTTATACATTCTTAATGAAGGTTGCTTTTAGAACATCCTACAAATCAAATTGCCTGCTTCACTGTGTTTTTCCTCTTATTTTTTTGTTGATGAAGTTATAATTTATTAATGAGATGGGGAGATCCCACATACAAGGTGTACACAAAATGTAGAGAATCTAAAAGGAAGACATGAGTATTTACAAAGAGCATCAGCAGTAACACAATATCACTAAGTGCTTCAAAGTTGTACAAATTTGTTATTTCCAATAATCTATACAAACAAGTTCTCTATCTGTTCAAACGCTCTCCTATTCTCTCTTCGCATATTAGCTGCATGAGTGCAGGCAGGAGGAGCTCTTCTGATTTCCTTCTCTTTCTCCCAATTTATATCCTAGAAGGACATCTCCGGCAGTCCCTAGTATCCATGTTACACTCAAATTTATGCTCCAGACCATTCCCATAATCTGGATGCAATAGGACAGTGAACTAGTAAGTGATTGCATCCTCTCCCAAGTCCCACCTGTGTTACTGTGCTGCACATTGGAAATATTTCCTACTTAAGTTAACTACCAAAAGAGTCATGTAGCATATAGGATATGTATCATGTAAGCTACCTGTTCTAATGCATTAGCATACTAAGCATCAAATTTATGTCTTTCTTCTATTTATCATCTTATCTCACTTCTAATTGATGGAAGATTTCTGCTAGCATAGTTAATATCTCTATTTACACTCTAGGTAAGAAGAAGACTTTGGATAGCTGTTTGATTTTGATTACCACATTGATGTTCTCTCATGAAGAGCTATACCGTGGTAATCTAAGCACGTTCCGAGCATGACAATGTGTAGAATATAAAGAAAGAAAATAGAAAAGGGAAAGGGCTAGAATACATGTGTTGACTTGTGATGGATGATTCAATTGCCTAGTAGTGCATAAGAATGACATTAAGCACCCTACTTTATGTGCTTGTAAAATAGATCCTTGTTCCAAGGAAAAAGGGGTGATTGCTTTCATGCTTTCATGTTGAGAGTTTTTTCAGATCAATTGTAAGAATATAATCCTAGACAATAATTTTAATCATCGGGAGCAGAGACATGGGCCTTTTCTAGTATAGCTCTTTGTCATGTTGATAACATCCCGATTACTTGGTTTCAAATAGGGTTGGATAAATTAGGTTTAGAAAGGAAGAGTTACTGGTTAAATTGTATGCATTTATCATTCGTTTTTGTATTTTATCAAAAATGAAAGGAATGGTTATTGGTTGTAAATCAACGCAAACATGTTGGAAGTAGCATTTACGAGTCTCGTCAATGTGATTGCATTGTGTAACTGTGTAAGGAAGGTCCCAATTTACATGTTAATTATTGCCTGCCTAAATATTTTTTATTACTAAAGAATGACGCTCATGTTTCATTTCTCATAAGCATCTTATCAACTTGTTGGCCAAGCAAAAGAGCAAAGAAATGCGCTGTTAATCTTGGAGGCTACAAAACATTGCTAAGTGGTATAACAATTTGTTATTGTCACTGCATACTTCTGATGTTATGTAATAATATTTTAATCTGTGAGCTTGTTGAAGCAACATCATGTGCAGATGTGTTCTTAATCTCAGCAGTTTTAAATTTGTTCATAAAGCTTAGAATTTAAGAAATTTGTAATTATTTATAGTGCATCGTTTGGTCATGACAGTTTTCCCCAGATTTTCCATTCTATACCTACGTTTATCTTCTCGGTCATGATCCCCCATCCCCACAAATTTTCCGTCTTGGTTTTCTTTTAGGAGAGGGAACAGTCAGCACTACGTGCACATAGCAGCTCAGTTAAAGGAAGTAAAAAGATGGATATGAGCTGGGAAGAAAATGTGCCAATGACTGGGAAATCTCAGCCTTTTATCAAAGAAGAAGTCCTTTCTGGTATATACAATGTATGTATGAAACCTAAGCTCTTATCATTTAGCAACAAGAACCTCTTGATACATGATTTAAGATTTTATTATAAATTTTCAGGACACCTTCCCATGTACACCTCAACAATTTTTTGACATACTATTGTCTGATGGTTCAAATTTCACTACCGAGTACCGTATAGCACGCAAAGATTCTAATCTCAATGTAAGTTCCATGTCTTGGTTTCTTACAGTTAGAATGTTTTTGTGAACTGTGCTTCTCATTTTATGCATTTCAGAGCTCAATTACTACAGTTTTGTTTTCTTTTCCTTTATTTTTTTTTTAAAAAAAATGTGGGTGAAGCAGGATGTTTTACTATAGTTGGATGTCAAAATAATTTCTCACTCAATTGAAATGCATCTTTTGGGGCATATGCTCAGTCAAAAGTAAAAGAGGTAGGTAATAGCTAGATTTCAAAGAGGAAATAAGCATGTAAGTTACCTTGAAGAACCTGTGATGTTTATTATCAGGTTGTAGTGTTTCTGGTGCAATTTCTTATTAATCTCTTTCTATTTATTGGAAAACAAATTAAGCAGAAAAAGTGAACTTGGTGGAAATATATTTTCTCCATATCTTGAATGTGATGGTATGTTGTGTGTAATCCAAATCTGCATGGAGACTACTGCTGAGTATATGCCCAGGCCTGTCAGAAGGGGCAGAAGAGGAGCAAGGGTTGCTGCTGATGGTTAGGAACATGAAAGTAGCACTGAGGGGAGAGCAATTTAGGAGATTTATGAGATGATGAGTTGAGAAGGGTTCTGAATTGAATGGAAAGAAACTGATACTTTAAGCTCTAGGAAATTCCCTTTAGGTTGATGAGGCATTAAAGCATAAAGCTAGAGTTGCCTATCACAATCTAAAAAAAGCATTACTTGCTCAGAAATCTTTTATGTTCTGAAAGTCTGATGAATTTGATACATCACTGGCCTCACTGTATCTGATCCCTATTCCTACACTAAATTTTTTCTATGATCAACAGGGAAAAAATGCTTATATTTTACTGTTACTAAACTACTTTTAAATCTAAGTTGCTCAGACTCTGGTGCGGATGTCTGGTACCCGTGTGGATCTAGAGGTCAGATCCTCTATGATCTAAATTTTAAGATTTGGGGATACGGCTAAATATAATTTAAATATCTAAAAATAGAGTTATAAAACCTAAATTATGAGATATTATGTGGAAAGCTTGAGGAAAAACTAGGGATGGCAACTGGGCGAGGTTAGGCGGGGTAGGGCAAGCCATGACCCATTTAGATTTTTACTGGCCCTACCCCACCCCGTTTAGTAATTTTTAAAAAAAAAATCCCTGCCACGCCCCGCTCTATTAAGCCCTGCCCTACCCTCTTTTTCAATTTTTGCTTGTTATTTTTTTATTTGTAATATGTTCAATTCTGCTGTATAATATTCTTTCTGATTTAGAATACAAGTTCAAACTACTCTATTTTTGCCCTTTTAACGTGCATTTATACATGCATTCTTCTAACTTTTTGAAATAATCAAGATATTAAAAATTAAATATGATATACTTATTCTCAAATTGAAAAAATAATATATATGTAAGAAAAATGAGTAATAGAGCAGTCTCTGACTTTCTAATAGCAATACAATTGTGAAATACAGTGGATTAGTGAAACTCATCAATGAAAGTGGTGTTCAGAGTAATAATCTACTTTGCTCTGTTCTTCTTACCTAATTCAAAAATAATTGCAGAACTGTGTATAATCCCGACCCGCCCTATTAATGTATAACCCCGCCCCATTTAGGTTTTACCCTCCCCCACCCCACCCTGCCCTACCCCGATTGCCATCCCTAAGAGAATATTTGATCAAGAGGAGAATTTTGAAAGGAGATGAAAGAAAAGGGAGTGACAATAGTTTTATATATTCATTTTCTTCAATTCCACCTTAGTTTTTGTTTTGATTTTAGAAATCATTGAATATGTCTAGAATTTCTCCCTCAAATTTGGTCAAAGTACCCAAAACTAGTTGACCAGATTGGGTATGGATCCCACACCCACACCCACGTCGTGTCGACACGGGTGCGGAACCGAAAGTGAAGAGTCCAAGCAACTTAGCTTTAAATCACCTAAATATGAGTGGCCAACTTAGCGAACCGAATTTAGCCTTTTTCACTTTTTCCTGCATAGTGCAGAAATGTTTCCTCAATTAATAAAGGTTATCCTTAACCCTGAAAACAATAAGAAAAATTTAATGATGCTAAATAAAACCATTAAGAAGTAAGAAAGTGTAATATGAGTTATTTCTTGATGGAACAAAAAGAAGTAACCTTTCAGAAGGATGAAAACAACTGTTTATGTTTAGTTGATGTGTTCTTTGTAGACTTGGACCTCTTTGTTCCCTTTTGTCTTGTAAAATTCAATTGACCTCTGCTGATTTTAATTAACTAAATTAGTTTTGAGGCACAAATATTTCAGACTTCGACTTCGAGAAGAAGAGGAAGTAAATAAATATGAAGTAGTTATCACAGGCGTACATTTCTTTTTCTGCAATTAGGTTAACAAAATTTAACACATCTTTGGAAGGAGATATTACTGTGTGTTTCAGTTGTTCCTGTCTAGAGCTAGAGTGACCCCAAAATAAAAATTGCTTCACTCCTGTGGCCTTAACTCTGGCTAAACTTTCGAATGCCTTTATTTTTATAGATAGGTCCATGGCATTCTGCTGATGAGTATGACGGCCAAGTCAGAGAGATTACATTCAGAACCATATGTAACAGTCCTATGTGTCCCCCAGATTCAGCAATGACGGAGTACCAGCACGCCATCTTGTCACCGGATAAGAAAATGCTGGTATCTCATCATTTCTTTTGCCACCTTGTTTACTGGTTGCTTTTATGCTATAATAATTTGTATTATATTAGTTTACCATTTTCCTTTCTTTTAGGTTTTTGAGACTGTACAACAGGCCCATGATGTCCCATTTGGATCATGCTTTGAGGTATTGCTGGGTTTGGTCATCAGCCCATATTCTTTTTCCAGTATTTGTGGTTTCAATTCAATGGTGGTCCTTATAGATGACCCCACATGCTATATATCATTGCTTATCTGCTGTAGGATCTCCCCTTGTTTATCTTTCTTACTGATTCGATTTGTCATTGAATCAGGTTCACTGTAGATGGTTGTTAGAGGCATCTTCTGACACATCCTGCATTTTAGACATAAAAGTTGGTAAGTTTCCTCTATGCTATGGTTTCTCGTTCAGTTGGAAGTGTTTAATCCACTATTCATTCGTCACCTTTTGCTCGTTGAAAAGAATTTCTGGTTCCTGGTTTACCGATTATTTTTGGTAATTTTTTATAATAGATTCTTTCTAGAAATAGACCAGGCAGGATCTGGAATATATGTCTACATTGTTCAGTTTGTAATGCACCACCAGGAATGACTTTACCTTTGTGAAAAATCAACCAGTCTGTCATTTATCAACCTCTTAGCATCTTTTGGTCACTCATCTTTCTAATCATCCTTGTGTTACATGTCTAGCTTTTAGCTTATCATTTTTTTTATACTTTCTGTCAGTTACCTTACCAGTCACCTTGTAGTACTCTTTCGTCGACTCTTATGGACTACTCTTCCATTTTTTACTTACTGAAAAGTCTCTGAGGGCCAAAGGCTGCGTTCGAAATTTGGTGGATTATGAGCCCCCACCCCTCTACTCTTCTCCACTTAACTACCGAGATTTTGCCTGCCACAGGGTTTGAACCTATGACGTGCGCGTAACCCACACATCACGTGTTGTGCCCTTACCACTCTGACCAAAGCCCTGGGGGCTATGGAGGACTACTACCCTTTTCATCCATCACGCTGGGATTTTAAGTAGGTGTGAATCTGTTTACCTCTTGCAATGGTTAGAGCCTTCACTTGTGCTTCCCAAGTTCCTCCTTCTAAGATCATTTGATCTTAAGCTGCAATTAGAAAATTTCTTGAGTACTCCAAGCTGATTGGTCTGAATCTGCATTGTCATCTTATTCTAGTCTATTTGTGTGAATTCCCACTTTGCGGGATTACACTGGGTTGTTGTATCTATCTGTATGAATTATAGCATGATACGAACCACCACATAGTTCATAGGTGTCAATTGTGTTACACGATGGTTACTTAAGCAACTGTGGTTAAGTATATCTTATATGGGTGACCAGGAAGATTAGAATTTAAAGTATCAACCATCTAACATATTAAGAATGGGGATATGAATTATGATATTGTAAAGGTGAACTAACTTCTGAGATTCGAACAGGTGCGCATTTCAAGAAATGGTGCATTATGCAGTCTAAAATTAAGGCAGGAGCTGTCGACGAGGTAAACTTTTCGTGCTTTTGCCTATATCTGCAGCGAAGCTGACTCACAAGAAACTGATTATGTCATATTTTCCCCCTGTACTCTCTTCCACCCCCTATGCAGTACAAGAAGGAGGTTGCAACAATGACAGGGATGGCTCGTTCATTTGTTCAATTGGGAATCTCAGGTAGTGAAATGCTAAATGCTGCATCTGAGCCTTCCATTACTCAATAGAACATCTAATTTAGGTTATATTTAGCTTCAGAATTCTTTGAAAGTGTTTCATAATTCTGTTTTGTTTGTTTGTAAGTAAGATAGTACTACCATAAGTCCATGTAATTGTGTCACAATCTTTGGATAGTAACTGCACCCTATTCCCCAAACAGAGGTCAAGTGGTGCTTTTTTTGTAAATTTATGGATCACAATTTTTGTATCAAGATTAGATGATTTTTCTTTTTCCTTGTATCCTCAATTGTGTTTTTCTCAATATTGCGCTTCTCAATGCAAGGGTGGAAACTTATCCAGTCATCCATAACACTTTACTCCATTGTTTTATGTTTCTTTTTTGTTGTTGTTCAAAGGCAGAGGGTGTCCTCCATCAGAAATAAATATCGTATATACAAGTAAAATGATAGACAGAATGATTAAATAACATATTTGGACACATTTGACACAACAGATTATTTGTAGCCCAATGATGTTAGATACCTTAAATGAGCCAGTGTTCTATTGTTTGTTTATGTAGATCACAAAAAATGGTAAAAAGTAGAGGATGGAAATCCTTAAAGATAATCTCTGATCACCCTCCTCTTACTCCTAGATTGTTTTTTTTTATTGTATTTTTTTTGCAAAATTTCTATTTTCTTAGTTAAAAGATCAACTATGTTTTCCTATATATGAAGTATGCTTCTTTGGTGACTTGAACTCACAATTTTAACATAGAAAGTGAGGAGTGTTTATCATCCGAGCAATTCTATCATGTCAGGTTATATTGTAATTATTTTAGTTGTCTTTACTTTTTTTCAAAAGCGCCATGTAAATACAAATGACCATAGAAAATATAAACTCAAATAATTTTTAAAAAATCAGTGCTTTGCTCCTGTTGCTGACACCATTGTTTTTGTATCAATACATTGGTGAATAGAATCGTTCTATCCTGAGAGAATTTATTCCTTTAAACACTGGGTACTAGAGGGGAATAATTTTCATAAGGGGACATTGTGCATTTAGTGGGCTCAATTTTTTCCTTTCTGTTTCATTTTATTGTTATAGATCTTGGTATGTGTTTTTACGGTCATTAATTTATGCTTATGTTATTAAGGATAAATGATAAGATGTTATACTTTGCATTTTCCTTTACATTATTAATGTTCGTTCCTACATAAATAGAATAGAATAGAAATATTGTCACTAGAACGGACCACATCCTTACTCCATATTCGGATTCAGATTAAGGGGGAAAGACTACGTAATCTTGCATGTAAGATAATATAGTGTTTTAGTTTTAATAACTGATATGTTTTAAGTATTATTTAATAAATTTCGTGATATTAAATTTCCGCTCGCGTGAGGCGCGAATAATTTTACTAGTTAGAATAAAATGTGAAATTTTGGACCAAAGTAAAATTCTAATGTATAATTAAGCAAAACAAATAAAGGCATCTAGTAAACACCAAACTTCAAAGTTCAAACTCCACAAGTCTAATACCTATGAATAGGATAAGTATAGGTGAATCGTTGCATGTCAATTATGGTCTTTGCTCAAAACTATCCGACTTAGTTTATTTTGAACGTATGAGTTCTCCAAGGTATACTATAGATCAATCAATTTTGCAAGAAATTTTCACATTCGACATTTGGGTTTGGGTTGACTTTTTTATTCGATTTTCAAGCTGATTCTTTTTGTGAAAATATGGGTGTCTAAGGACTTGTATACTCATCCAGATTATATCTTTGACCAGATTGGGACCGTTTTAAGGAAGGATAAAATCGTAATTTAACTTTTTAAACTTCAATTAAGACAAGTTGAGACTTTCTTTGACTCTCTTTTAAGAGAATCTGATTTAGGGTATTGCTTGATTGGATAAAAGGAGTAATGGAAAATAGGGGTTTCATATATATAAATAAGATGATGAGCAATTATAGGGGTATCGGTGCTACGATATGGATTATTTCTACTCCCTCCGTCCCTATTTACTTGTCCATATTTCCTTTTTTAGTTGTCCATTTTGACAAATCAAGAAAGGACAACAAATTTTTTCCTATTATACCCTTATTTACACTTCTTGAAAATTGTAAAAGTGTATGTTGTTTCCCTCCAATTTATTTCACTTTAATTCAAATAAGTGGTTGTAATTTTGAAGTGAAAAGTTGTCATAAGGGTAAAATTGTAACTTCACTGTGCTAATAATTGTTGCCTTAATCTGTGTGCCATTTCTAAAGTGGACAACTAAAAAGGGACGGAGGGAGTACTTGTTTGTAATGATTCTATATGACTAATGAGCAAGATATGTGGCTTATAGTTGATGATTTACTCTCCTTAACGGATTTGAGGTAATATTTCGTGATAATTGTTGTTTTAGTTTTACAGTGATTTGACATGAAGTAATAAATAAATAAAATTGATTTGACTTTCATAAGTATATCTTGAATTTTGGATCAGATCTACACGCCTGCACTGTATTTCATTGGGATCAGAGTACACATCCACACATGTTATACTTTTAGGATCATAAAATATGTTTTGTATTTTTTTATTATATTATCTGTTACTTGTTGAGATACGTAAAGTTTATGTGTTTTAAGTATTGAGGAGATGGTTTATTTTAATTATTACTTAATGTTGACAAAGATCTTTTATTTTGATATATGCGAAACAGAGCCATATAAAACCGATCCCTGTCTGTCATCACTTCTTGCAAAAATAGAAATTTGAAAATTTAGATGCAACAATTGAAGAGACAAACGACTTTTACTAACAAAATTCAAAATATGAAAAAATAAATACAAAAAAATGTCAGAAGGAATTCAATATCTACATATATAAACAAGAGCAATTTTCATATATAGCAAACATAAAAATCATATTTGTATGTTATAGCTATAGTTTGTATAATTGCGCTCCATAATAAACTTTAATCTGTATATTTCGGTATACATATACATAAAAAATATGTATTTGGGTCTATTTGTATATTTCGATATACAAATGGGTCCTGCATTTGTATATTTCAATCTATTTGTATATTTTGATATACAAATGGGATAGCAAAAAACATGAAATGTTTATTGCGAATTACAAATAAAAGAAACTATGGCTATAGCATTTAATTTGAATTAATAGTTTACTATTTCAACAAACAGTATGATTATCCACTCAGTCTTGGCTCTACCTAGCTATGCCCCTCAATACATTTCCTTTGGAAATAAAAAATCAATCAAAGAACCAGATTAATACTATAAAATAAACAATAAAACAGACTTGCAATTTTAAAAATCATTCAGAAAGAAACCTCAGATGTTTCTGTAATTAACTTCAAAGAGAAGCTTCCTAACATAGCTTTGTTTAAGCACAAACAAATTTAAAGCTAAACCACATTAAGTGACTGTTTAATTGGTACAACACAAAGCCTAAATGACTTTTCACACATGACACATCTAATACTACAAGCTGTACATCAACCTGCAGAAGAATGGAAGAAAATGAAAATGCATGACGACTCAAATTTGCCTTTTATCGTTGTCACTTCTTCCAGGCAAGTCGTAATTTGTTGATAAGGCACCCTACTACTATACAATTGACAAGAGAAATGACGAGAAACTAGAACATAGGACCATTTATACCACCACACTGTCTTCAGGTTTGCTGTATCTTGAGACCAGCTTTTCAAAACTCAACATTTTGTTCAATGCACCAATATAGGCTCGGACACTTGAGATAACAACATCCATATCTGCTCCAGTTCCACTGGAAGAAAAGATGAGACAAGTCAGAAAGGAAAACTGATGCATTTATTCTGGTAACCTATGAATCGCCTAAGAAAATGATGATCAACTATGTGCTGGACTCAAGCATATTTGTAGGACATTCTTTTTGATATACAGTGAAGCATGTCATCACTTTGTTAAGCATTTGTCCCTCCTACTTGTATTGTTGGATACACAGTGGTGGAGCTAGGATTTTCATAAAATATGAAGAAGTGAACACACGAAGAAGACAAGGGGATTCAACAACTACTATATCTACATACAATATACTTAATTTTAACCTTGTATATACAGTGTAATTTTCTGTCAAAGGGCATCTACATTATATAACTGCTTGACATATTAGATACTGAAGTTCCTTGCCTGTGTTATGTGCCTGTGATACATTAAAGGGGTTTGGCATTTAGATATCGAAATCATTACTTGTCATATTTTGTGTGCATATTTTTCTGTTCCCATCTTGGTAGCACTGGCTACAATTACACTTCCATGCTGTGTCATTCTTTGGAAATTTTCCATGTAAAACTGAAAGAGGCAAACAATATTTCGTACCTAAATGTGCGGTGAATAGTCTGTCCAGTTGAACCATTCGTTACATTATGCCCATCCTCACTGCAGATTGACACTCTGGTTGATGCTATGGCATCTATACCTTCTGTGACTGCATTCATGGAATATTCAAGGAGCGCTATAGGCACCTGCATAACGAGGAAAAGTACATTAAATGCAGTACACAAATAGTATAAAGAATAAATGTTTCATAAATACAGTTGCAATTTTTGACCATCAGTTTTATGAGAGTTTCTGTTGTATCAAACCTTCACAATGAGGTCCACTGCCTTATAAGCTGCATCAACAGGTCCTGTTCCAACTGAACAAGCAATATGCTCTTGACCATCAGTGTTTATAAGCTTCACAGTTGCTGTAGAGAGGCCAAGACTTCCACACGTAATCTGTCGATTGAACGTTAAATCATTTTGAATCAGCTGAACTATTATTTTCAACCCAAAAGAAATTGACAAAAAGACCGGCAAAGACGAGACAGAGGAAGAATTTCATCTACCTGTACATCTCCAAGCTTCCAATAAACATTAGGCTGGAGAACTTCATCTGACATCAGTGCTATTAAGTCATCATCTGTAATTTTCTGAAAGAGAAGTAGGGAAGACAAATAAATGGACAACGTATCTCCTCTCCTTTCAACCTCTACATTTGTTCCACACAGGTAGTAGAAGTACAAATTCCCAGTGCTATTGAACGCTTAACAACGGAAGTATGAAAACTTCAATTCACCTTTTTCTTCTCAGCTACGGACTTAAAACGCCAAAAGAGGTCCTCTAGTTCTTTTCCGTCAATGTCATATCCAAGCTGGAATAGACATTAAAATGATTGATCCCTATTTTTTATGATATGAGAAATATGTACAACTCACAAGGTATGCAACTTACCTCAAGCATTTTGGATTTCA